GAATAAAAAATAATAAATATTGAGATAAACTGCATAGAATGTAGGTCATTGGATAAGTGGTTTGCATATGGTTTTTTGATGATTCTTAATTAGGAATAAAATGTTTGTTTTATACGTTTTAAAGGAAATATAATAGGTGTTTGGGTGTAGAGAGGAACTTGGAAGAGATTTTTGGGAAGTTGTGGAAACTTCGTTTGACATATGAGAGTTAACTTAATTAATTGGAAATAAAATATTTATCTTGAAAATCTTCGTTGGGAACCAGCCAAATATCGAGATAAATTTCGAGCAGAGCCTTTGGATTTAGATTTAGAGCGGAATTTCAAGATTCAGGGATAGAATAGAAGAGATAATAGTTTGGTAGAAATTTACTTTGTTTTGGCGATTGATAATGCCAACAGAGTGGAAATTCAAGAGCTGATTCAATTTTTTCTCCAAAAAATTATTCATTTATAACCGTATTATAATCGTAACGAATTTAAATATGAATTTTAAATGTCAATCAATCGGCAATCGAAAAGAGGAGAATACGCCAAAACAATGCATTTCGAGTATCGAGAAACCACACCATTTCCACCAATCTTTTGTTTCATCCCCCTTTCCATAATTCCTCTCGCTTTCGAAGAGCGAGCGAGGGGAGAGGGAGGCCGAATGGGAAACAATTGTTTCGTCGATAATGTCAGTGTCAAATGGCGTGCACGTTCGAGGACATTGACGTCGCGACGTTAACACACGTCCTTGGCCACCGCAAACCACCCTCCCTGTACCGGAGATGAAAGACAAAGCGGTGGAAAGAGGGTGGTTTGGTTTTTAGCATCACGTACAGGGAAAGAAAAAAAAAGAAATAAAGAAACAGAGAGAGAAAGGGAGAAAGAAAGGGAGAGAGAGAAGGAGAGAGAGAAAGAGAGAGAGAGAGAGAGAGGAAGAGATGAACAAAAGACGGCTTGGTGCAACAGTTGTTCATTTTCTACCGCGTTTATACGCGGTGGTTGTTCTCTGTAAAAAATACGCGGAAACACTGGCAGTCACGAGACTTCTTCATGGAAGTCGTCATCGTGCACAAGTGCGGCTTTGTGTTGTTCAAACATTTTTGTTACCGAGGCAAAGCTGGAAATAACGCATAAAATTGACGGATACCCGAGTGTGAAAAGAGCGAACTGGAACCCGTGTATCCATCCATCTTTTCCTCGTGTGCGTGTCCACTGCGAGGATAATAAATTATTATTATTGTTATTGTTGTATATACCCGTATCGTAGCTTTATTTAAATCGGATTTCGTAGAGGCGCGATTAACGAGTATCAACAATCGTTATTAAATATTTATGATAAGGGGGACAGTGTTGTGCTATTTTCGAATCGTATTAACATTCCATGATATCGCGAGCCAAGAGAAATTTATTTATTAAAACGGAAAAACGATTAGCAAATTGTGTTATTACGCGACCCCCTTTTGCTCTGTGTGTTTCGCCAGTTATATCGAATCGTATACCTTCACTCGATTTCATTCGAATATCGTTTGTAGCGAATTACTTACGATTTTCTTTATAAAAGTATAATTTTAAATGGGAAGTAATTCACCAAGTTTGAGAGTTATTTCATTTTTTTTCCATTTTCCACGAAAACGTTCCGTTTTTCTTTCACACAGTTTCCAGGTATATATGTATCGATTATAGTTTATTTTGTTGAAATATAAATATATTTATATCTTTTCCAAATTTTATTCAAATTAATAATGGAAAGGAATTTCTTTCGGGAAAGAAAATAAAACTCAAGTGAAATCGAATGAAATTATCAAAGAGTTAATTCGATAGAATTAATTAAGTGTTAAAATGCTCAACAAGTTCCTTTTTTTGAAAGAAGCTTTCAAGCTTTCGAGTAATTGCCGCTACGTAAGCGATCAAAATATATACGTAGAAAAATTCCGTGTCGTTCTTCTATGCTCTAAAAGATTCATAACTGTTGCATTCATATCCCGTTTACATCTGTACCAGTTTCGTGCGTTCGTATTTCCTTCATTCCGTGCTTTCTTCTTTTAAAAAAGGTAGCTTTGCAACATCAGTTGCGCGTCACTTTTTCTGGATTATCTAGCTAGTGGTTTTTTCCCCCTAGCGGTGTTTCTGTGAATGAAAATTTGTTACATTTTCTCAGATATAATATCGCTAACCTATATGACTGGAAAAATTGACAAATTTGTAACAACAAGAATTAAAAAGATCTTTATTTATTCGGTTCCATCTTTTAAGCATTTTCGACTTGTAATCAGATTAATTTTAAAGAATGCCACGAATATTAATTATTTAAAAAATCAGTCGCGTTATCTTCAGAGTATCTTCGCTTCCATCATCCAAAATAAATTCTAAAATTCTAATCGTTGAAAGATTTACGAATCTAAAGGATTTTTATCACGGAGAAACATTGTTCAAACTCAAGCTTCTTCTACAAATTTACAAAAACGTCGCGCAGAAATGAAACATCTGAAAGATTCCACAGCCACACCTGAGCCCCTCTCATCCCGGGAACGTAACGTTAAAGTAGCAATCGACGGGTAAGTCGAGCATAAAAAAAAAGGAACTTTTCTTGCACGCTCCTGTTATGCACTATATTATACCAGGAGATTCACAACTGTTGCATTCGTCTTTGTTCATTTTTCTATCTCTTCTTCTTGTCCCTCTTTTGCATTTTTCATCCTATGCGAAAAATACTCCGAAGAGGACGTGTCGAGTTGGAACTCGAGAAAGATAAAAGATAAAGCAGATAAAGAAAGATTCGTATTTATCCATTTTTTTTTTTTTTTGGTTCTTTCTTCTTTTTTTCCCTTCCATTTTTTTTTCATTTTCTGCGAAATATTAGAAGAGAAGGGATATCGGAGTCGAATTCACAATTATATTCATATTCATCTTTGTTTCTCATCCTCTATGAGCAGGAGAACAGGAGAACATCGAACTAGAAATGAAAACAAGAAAAATATAAAGAGAGTGGATATAAAGAAAGATTCATAACATATCGTATTCGTCTTCGTATTCGCATCCTTCGTTCTCTACTCTAAAAAATATCACAAAGACGAGTAATCTTGTTCATTTTCTCGAAACACGCTACGAACGAAGAGGAGAACGCGTCGATATGAAACGAGAAAAAATAAGAAAAAATATAAAAAAGAAAGATTTTCACAACTGTTGCATTCCTATTTCGTTCATTTTTCTATTTTCATTTCTTCTTCTTCTTCTTTTCTGTGAAAGAATATATCGAGCTGGAACGAAAAAAGAATTTCCCTCTCTTTCATCTCCTCTTTACAACTGTTGTATTCATTTTTCTATTTCCATTTTTTCTTCTTCTTCTTCTTCTCCTTCTCTTCTACGAAAGAATATATCGAACTGGAACGAAAAAAGAATTTCCCTCTCTTTCATCTCCTCTTTACAACGGTTGTATTCATTTTTCTATTGCCATTTTTTCTTCTTCTTCTTCTTCTCCTTCTCTTCTACGAAAGAATATCTCGAACTGGAACGAAAAAAGAATTTCCCTCTCTTTCATCTCCTCTTTACAACGGTTGTATTCATTTTTCTATTGCCATTTTTTCTTCTTCTTCTTCTTCTCCTTCTCTTCTACGACAGAATATATCGAACTGGAACGCAAAAAGAATTTCTCTCTCCTTCGTTTTTTCTTCACAATTATTGCATTCATTTTTCGTTCATTTTTCAATTTCTTTTCCTTTTTCTTCTTCTTCTCCTTCGCTTCTACGAAAGAATATATCGAACTGGAACGAAAAAAGAATTTCTCTCTCCTTCGTTTCTTCTTCACAATTGTTTCATTCTGTCCATTTTTCCATTCCTGTTCTTCTTTTTTCTTCTTCCTTTTTACGAAAGAATATATTGAGCTGGAAAAAAGAATTTCTCTCTTCTTTCTTCTTCATTACACGTGTCGATCCAGGAAACGAGAAAGAAAAAAGAAAGATTCGCGACAACTGTTGCGTTCGTTCTCCCTCCCTCATTCCTTCTCCATTTCTCTCTTCCTCATCCTTCACCCTCCGAAACGAAAGACACGCTCGTGCACGTCTCGAAACGGAAGAAAAGGAATCAAAAAGCCACGAAAGAAAGGTCTAAAGGTCTACGGGGAGAGGAAAAGATGGGGAAGGATACGCGGGGGGATGAAAAGAATCTGAAGAGAAGAAGAGGCGAGGAGAGAAGGAAAAGAAGCGAAAGGAAGCGAGAGGAGACGAGAGGAAGGCGCACGGAACGAGCGTGAGCGCCCTCGACGAGCGGCGTCGGGACGTCGAGCGTCGCGGCGCCGCGTGAAAACCGAGAGGCGACGGCGTTCGAGTCAGTCTGCGTCCGCCAGTCGTCGCGACGTCCTCGCTTCGTGGTGACTTTTGCGCCGGATTCTATCCGTCGTTTCGTACCGTGAGCATCGCCAATGCTCGGATCGACGAGTCTTCGAATTCTACGCGTAATCTTTCGACGGTTTTCTTGAAAAACCCGTTGCGCCATTGCGGGGGAGGGATCCAACGAATTTTTGTACAATATCATCGAATTATTTCGTCTCTCGGAGGGAGAGCTTTTACGCCACGCTTTTGTGCAAAACAGGGGGTTGATTTGATCGCCCTCCGTTCCACAGATTCGAGAGTTTATCGGGAGAAATTTCGATCGAGTGTGAGATCAAGAATTATCGCGCGTTGTAGACACGCAGAGAGGAGGAGGAGGAGGAGGAGGAGGAGTGTTTTCACAGGAAGGGGAGGAGAATCGTTCCTCTCGAGGAAACACATTGAATAGTAACGTCGCGAGACACGACGACGACGACGTGTCGACGAGGATTCGCTTCTTGTGCTTGGTATTTCTCCCTTTTCCACATCATTTCACCCTTCCCCTTTTTTTTTCTCGCACCTGTGTTTCGCTCAACCGAGTTTCCATCGCATCGAAAGATCAACCGAGGAGAGAGAAAGAATCGAGCAGAAAAAAACACGGAAATTTGCTGCTCGTCCACTCTTTTTTCCTCTCTCATTTTTCTCCCCTCTCTTTTTCTTTCTCTCTCTCTTTCTCTCTCTTTCTCTTTCTCTATTTTTTCTTCGACTTCCCCTCTTCTGGAATCGACGAAAAAAGTTTCTTGTGCGCGTCGGTGGATGGATCGTCGCCTTTGACATCCCTCGATATCTGTCGGCTGTTATCGTTCGGTAAGTAATTTGAAAAATAAATATTATAGCGTATAGATACATGTATTGTATTTGCTAAGATTCGTTCGTTGGGGTTTTTTTTTAATATTCGAATTTTTCTGCAACAAGTTGTTTCGATTTTGACGACAAAGTTGGGTACGAATAAGTTGAGAATAAGTTGTCTGGATTTATACCTTCCTTCTGCTACTTTCACCTAAAAACAACACCACGTTTAAAATCGTAATTATCACGTTAAGAAATTATGTCATCTTCCCTCAATTTTCACATAATCTTCTTTCAACAGAAGGAAAAATTGATCGAAACGAACCATCATCGCGTTACATCACATTATCCTCTTGATAAATATTTCACCGATAAAAGATCAACTACATGTGTGTGTGTGTGTGTGTGTATGCGTGTACGTGGGCGACTCTCTTTTCCCCTCCTCTCATTTCCTCCTCTATTTCCACTGAAAAATATTTACCCATTAAACCTATTTTCAGAAATACATCAAACTTCCATTTATAATTCGTTCGTGTAACGCGTCGTAGTAACTCGGTCGAGTGACTCGCAATATGAAATAACGGTCCACCTTAGAGATCTTGGGATCTAAAATCTTGGGGAGGAATGTTCCTTCTGAAAAAAAGGAGGTGTGGGAGGGGAAGAAAGAGAGAAAGAGAGGGAAAGGAGAATCCGATGGTTAACGCGCGATTGTTACGCGTGGGTGTAACAACGTGGCACGGATTTAATTTTCGCACACACAGGGGCGCGGATTCCGAACAATTGTAATTAAATTCTTTGGACGCTAATGACCGCGAGCACTTGTGTGTCTCGTGCAAATGATATTTAAATTAGTACGCTGCCTGTATATTAATCGTGCCAAACAGGGCGGATTTTCGTGACGATTGTGCGACTTCCGGAAACTGTTGTTAACTGATCCTGCAACGGTAATAAATATTTTCGCGTAATTTACATCCCGCCCACCCTCTTGAATATGTTTCACCGAGACGTGGGCTGCCGTTACTGGCCCCGATACTTAACACAGTTCTCGTGTAACGAAATAAAGGGTTCATAAAAATGCAACCACGTTCCATTGTTCGCCTTTGTTAACAACACGTTGTTCGGGAGAGGGGGGGGAGGAAGGGAGAGTAATAAATCGTCGAAATTTTCACACGCAACACACGCGTGAAACGGGGCAATATATACATACAGTCGGTTGAAGAAGTATTGCCGTATCACGCTTTATGCAAATTGAAATAACA